TTCAGCAGGGTCACTGTGAGTCGTACTTAATGACATCTAACGACAATGACCTTCAAGAAATGCCGAGCCACTTGATAGACGTGGGCTAACAGCGGTACAACAGCCCATCTCCCTTCTCCCTGGCTGATGTTGGGGTGTCAGCAGTGGGCACCTCCTGCTTGGGGGTTGGCAAATCCAAATTGAACTCACTCAGTAGCGGCTGTGGCCACTGTGGAGCCAGGAGAGCCGCACCCTGCCTGAGCCTGTCGGCTGGGTGTTGGAAAGGTACCCACAGGATTTTCTGGCATTGAAGTAGACCCACAGTCATAGTTGACTTTGTCCCAGGTGTTGAACTTTGCTGTTTTCCAGCACAGAACTGCACAGGATATTATGCAGGCCTGGCCTGAAGATAATAGAAGTCTCATATTTGAAAACAGGAGACTTTTTATACTGGTCGAGCTCCTAGATTCTGGTCACCAGCAGACAGGAAGTGGGGTCTCCCCAGGGACGCTCAGGCAGGACAGGGGTGGCAGTGCCCTAAGGGCCAGGCTGGGACAGTCTGGTCCCAGGGAGCTGTGGGCAGCTGTGTTTACCGGAAGGTGATTGGTATTTGGGGACCTCCCGCAGAACTGGTGAGCAGAGATGAGACCCAAGCGGTGTCCAGCCTTCTCATGGAAACCTGGCTGTTTTTCCAGAAATGCTCTTTGAGGACTGTAAGCCTCTGGTTAATTTCCAGAGCTCTGAAAAAGTTTATCTTGACAATTCTGAACCATTTGTAAATCTATTATGGTAAAATATATAATTTGCCATTTTGACCATTTTTGAGAGTGTGATTCAGTGAAATTACTTAGAACAATAACTTCCGAAACTCTTGTCATCTCCCTAATGAGCCCCTTCCACACCAGCTCCCCCTGCCCCACACCCTCCCTGAATGGCTGGTAACCTCTAATTCTGTCGGCCTCCACACTCACCTGTCCTAGGGGTGCCACCTAAGCAGGACTATGCAGTGTTTGTCCTGGTGTGGCTGGTTTATTTCGCTCAGGGTGGTGGTTCCCAAGTTCTCTTGAGCTGTGGCCTGCATCGTGACTCCACTCCTGTTTAAGACCGCATGATGCCCTGTTATAGGGATGGACACTCGGGTGGCTTTGTGACTAGTGCTGTGGAGGCCTTCCACGTCTCCCGGCTGTGTACCTAGGAGTAGACGCCTGGATCGGCAGGTAATTCCACTAGAACATTTGATGACGGAACTGTTCGCACAGCAGTTGTAACATTTTACGATCCCACCTGCATTCGACGGCAAGTATCATCGCTTTCGTGCTTTGTTTTTAAATGGCACCGACTTGGCTGATTCTTGATGACCCTGGAAACCAGATGAAAACCTTGCCCAGTCTTGTTGCATCCTCAGCCCCTGATGTTAGCTGACGGTTATCCTCACGGTCAGTTCCTCTGACTGCAGATTTCCTCTTACTGGATCCTTTACCTGAGCGTGATTTCCAGGGCCTGAACCCTCCCATCACCCTGCCCAGAGGGCATGAGCTGAAGTCTGACCATCTTGGCTGCCTAAAGAGCACTTTGACCGCACTTCTTTCAATGTGTGTTTATAGATTCTTTGTGCTTTTGTTGCTGGGTACCACTGAGTTGACTGACTCACAGCAAGTCTGAACAAGAGATCTGAACCCTGCCCTAGGCTGTGCCATCCGCAGCCTCTCTGTATACTGCAGCCCATTGTTACGGTCACTGTGTTGAGTCATCTTTTGGGGGGTCTTCTGTTTCACTGGCCTCTCCACCTTTCCAAGCATATCTTTTTGTATAGGCCCGTCCCCTCCTGACCACATGCCCAAAGTATGCAAGATAAAGCTTTACTCTCCTTGCTCTTAGCCTCCTGCTTGTTCTTCCTCTCACACACATTTGTTTCTTTGACTCCATGGGATGTTCAGTACTCCAACACTATAACTCTAAGGCATCAATTCTTCTGTTGCCATTATTCATTGTCTACCTCTGAGATGCATAGGAAATAATGGAAAAGACCATGACTTAAATCAGGTGCACCTTAGTCTTTAAAGTGGCATCATTGCTCCTTTGCCTCTAGGAGAGGTCCCCGACAGCAAATTTTCCCAGGACAACATGCCTTTGGATTTGACTGCTGCTACTATGGGCGGTGCTTGTGAATCCAAGTGAAATGTAATCGGGGACAGCTTCAGTCGTCTTTTGCTTTCTACAAGGGGAGAATTTTTGGAGGGTCTTGCTCTGGCCTTTTTGCCAATGCCATTAGACAAGATTTTTAAAAGATTTATTACGGAATGATAGGCTACTTTATAAAGGGAACTCTTTTTGGAAAAGCTTGGCTGGCAGTCGTACCCATCAGTTGCACCCCTCTTCACAGTGACCCTGTGGTACAGAGTAGAGCCGCCTTGCAGGCTCCCAAGCCTGTGACTTCTCAAGGAACAGTGGCCTCATCCTTCTGCAGCAGAGTCCGTGGGTCCAAGCTGCCAGCACCAGCCAGCTGTTACTATATGACGAGGCTTACTAAAATAGAACAAAAATACTAAGTAAACTGATTAATGTTCTGGGTTTTCTATATCAGTAATGCAGATACTTCCATGGACAGAGTTGGGGGGTGTGCTTTTCTGTAACTTCCTCTGTCCTGCATCATTGATTTTTGTCCCTCAGTATCTTACTGTGAGGTCATACGGAGCAGGGCCGCCATGAGCGGATTCTGCTTGATATTAACTCCCTGGGAGCAGATCACCAAGGCCGACTTCTGAGGCACCTCCGAGTGGGCTCAAACCACCAACCTTTGGGCTGGCAGCTGAGCACTTAACCATTTGGGTCATCCCAGAATTCCTCAGTAAAAACACCATTCCAGCAGGCACATGGTGTCCACATTGCTTCATGCACAAGTTTTCCACACGTCCTTTCTATTGGGATAGAAAACTTGTGCTTAATTTTCCTCACTTGCAAGGAAAGCATTTTCTTCCTGTTGATGTTCTTTTTAACATTGATTTTAGGGTCATTACTTTTAAGTGCCGTTGCCTGTGTTATGTATGACTCAGCATAATGGGTCTGAATGCTGCCCAGTGTTCATGTCCTGTGTTCTGGAGCCCCTGTCAACCCTCCTTGGTGACCGTCCTCTCACGGACAAGGACAAGCCCGCCCAGACTCTGCCCAGAGCATGTGGGACGCAGCCTCCCCGACTCTGCCTTCGTGGAGATTCTGGTTGTCCTTCCTCCAGGACAGACCTCGCGAGCGGCCTTACTCACTTTACAGGCTGGTCTCTTTGACCAAAAGCTGAGCCCTAGTTTGGGGTGGGGGTTGAGATTTGTTGAAGTTTAAAGGGTCACATTTTGGGGATCCCATCAGTCTTTATCGGACCAGTGAGCCGGGCATTTGAAATTGTTGCGCGTCTGCCCCCTGTGCCCAGGATCTTCTGTGCATGCAGAAGGGTCTGGAATCGCGAGTGCCCCCTCCCTTCCACAGCCCTGGTCCATGCTGGGTGGTGGCCTGAAAGTGACGCAGGCTCGTGAAAACACACCCGCAAGCTGTGCTGCGCCGACAGGCTGGCTTGGCAGCCAGGGAACCACTTGTTGCCCGCACAGACGTTCCGCTTACCCTGTAGGGGAAATTGTCTTCACTAGAAGCCACAGATTGCATGACCTTTTGCTCAGCTATAACCACATGTGATTAAAGTTTGTAATCACTCCTGAAACTCTGCAGGCCACTTAATGCCCTTACTTTGACAAAACCTGAACAGGTTAGACCAAACTCGGCGTCTTTCCTGGTTCAGAACCGGGCCCACTGCTGCTGGGTCGGTCCCGACCCTTGTCAGAGCACAGGTGGCCAGTAAAGCCAGTGAGACTCTTCCTGCAGCAGCCAGTCCTGTCAAAAGAGCAGCGTTTCCGAGCGATGAAGGCCAGAGGCAGGACAGGGAAAGCAAGTAAGGTTAATGGAAACGAGAATCCAGGGCAACACTGTAGGGTTTGAAAGCACTCATGTGCTTCCAAAAAAGTGGTTTCAAACACATTTTTGGGTGCTTGAAAACCAGTTTGCTTTTGTAAACTTTTAAACTGCAATTAAAAAAAAATCATGTGAAAGATCTTTGCCCTTCAGTTGCTAGTGAATTCAAACCACCAATCTTTTTGGTTACGAACTGGACACGCTAGGTGTAATGCCACCAGGGTGAGCATGCTGTAGCCCTTCTTGTCCTGTATTAGATCCTTGACGGCAGAGAATTTCAGGCCTGAGATTTCCCCAAAATTTACAAATAGCACCAGAGCTTCCAAGTTTGACAAACACAGGAAAGGAGCTGAGAAGAGGGTCTGACTCCCCAGGCCCTCTGTGCCGTAAATACAGGAACACGGTCACTTACAAAGACAAAATCTGGCTGGAGCGGTCCAGGGCACCAGCACAGGAGCAGCTGCCTTGTCGGCTCTGGGCACGTGGGCGTGGTCGGTCCTTGTCTCTCCAGCTTGTTGGCTCCTTGATGACCTTCACGCCACGTGGCTGCTTTCTTCCGCCACCACTGCTGGCTCACATTGCGTTTAATCTCTATCTCAAAAGATTGACTCTCTGTACACCTCTCCCGCGGTGAGGTTGGTAAAGGGGATTGTGGCCACAGGATTGATTTAAGGATTTATAGCATAGATGATGGTCCAGGTGGACCAGGGTGATGGACGGGGAACGGTGAGGGGGACATCACAGTTGGAGTGTGACAAACGAGGGAAGTCGGGGATTGGATGGTTCAGACAAGGCCACTGGGAATAAAGTGACTATTATACATTGTCCAGACGGGGACTCCTTGGAGAGAGTCATCAATAAGCACCACAGGTGCCCACTAGGACTGTCCCAGCAGCCGGGTGCCATCCAGGGTGGACAGTGATAGTGGGACTGGGTGGAGGACACGCTGACAGATGTGCACGTGAGTGAGTGATGTCCCCAACCCTCTCTGGACTCTGTCGTCCTCGAGTGAGGTGGGATGGCCACGGGGCACCCTCTGAGGTCACTCTCCCCTGGACGCCTCTCAGGGACACTGCCCAGGAAGTGTAAGAAGGAGCTGCTGGCCGTGAAGCTGAGGAACCGGCCGAGCAAGCAGGAGCTGGAGGACCGCAACATCTTCCCCCGGAGGACAGACGAGGAGCGCCAGGAGATCCGGCAGCAGATCGAGATGAAGTTGTCCAAGTGAGTGCGGAGCGCGGGCCCCGAGCTGCTGTCCCCTCCCCAGCGGCACACTGCCCTGCGGCTGGCAGATGCTGACTCGGGTATCCCTGACTCTTGTGTCCACCCCATTACAGAACAAGGTGTGCCTCCATGCTGCCCACTGTCCCCTGGAGAGGAGATGCCCATGGTTGAAACCTGGTCTCCAGGGCCGGGCCTGGGGAGAAGCGAGGGCCGCAGGCTGGTGTGTGAGGGCAGCAGCCTAGGGGTGGGATCTGGAAGTGCAGGCGGGAGGACCAACCCCCTTCCCCCTCTGTCTAGGTTTCTGTGCAAGAGGGTGAACCTTAAGTTGTCCAGTGTTCTTAGAATTTTTTGGAGTTGGGACTCTGGAACTTTCTGTTTGAGACAGTGTCTTTTCCACTCGTGGGTGCTGGGCACCTGCTCTCTGGCCCTTGCTGTTTCCTAAAGGTCCTCAGGTCAGGGGTCAGGCCTGTCCTTCGGGGCATAGATGGTGGCTGAGACCGCGTCCCTCCTCCTGATGCAGTGTCTGAGGGGCTCAGGGTGCTTCGAAGGGGTGGGGCTCAGTGGCCGTCTTCCTGAGAGCCAGTGCGTGGTGGGGCAGGGGCCCCCGGGGTAGCCCTGACCCCAGTCTACCTTGGGACGTGACAGCAAGGCTTCTGGGGGCCAGGCCTGTGCAGACTGCGGTCAACAGGTGCGTCTGGCTTTCAGTCTGTGCAAGGGTGGGGCCAGGGATCGCCCCGATATTCATAGAGGGGAGAAGTGTAACCCAGATGTCTGTGGGGTGAGAAGAGGTCCCCTGAATGTGGCGGGGGGTGGGGGGGCAGGGTGGTTACGTGCCGTTGAGGAGGAAATGCTGACGCTCGGGCACAGGGTTCAACTCGGCCGTACTTCTCCTGCCGGGGACCTGCCTGTCTGTTGTGCATTATCTTCCTGGACCCCAGGACTGACCCCACATCACAGCTTGGTAACACTGTGAGGGACAGGACCCATGTCCACCACGTCCTCCTGGACCCCAGGACAGATCCCACCTCTCGGCCCTGAAGGGGAGGACTGGTCGGGTCTGCATCCATCCTGTCCTGCACGTCCTGGCCCTGCAGCACTGTGGGGGGGGGGGCACAGAGCCTGTGCCCTCTCTGTACTGTGGTGACCCCCACATGACAGCCCTGCAGGACTGGTGGGACACGGCTTGACTTCTCCCTCTTGGACCTTGGGACAGTCTCTGTGTCACCACAGCAGAGACAACGTATCAGTATGGACAGGGCCAAGTCCCAACATCTCAGTGGTCCCCACGAACCAGGGCCTGACCTCGACCAGTGCTTAGGGGACAACAGAGACCGTAGGCTGCCAGCGTGGTCACTGTGAGGCTGGTGCCCACTTTGAGCAGTGTGGTCTGTAGTAGGGTCTCTGGTCTGGCACTGGGCTGGCACCAGCCCTCTGGAAGGACTGTCCATGCAGGGCGTTCAGTTGCACCCCACTCCATCCTCCATGGGCTTCCCCACTTGTGATGGCATATGGGTGTCCCCCACACAAGGTGTCCTGGGAACGCAGATGTGCCTTGCTCTGAAGGACACATGGCTCTCTCCAGTTGGGGGTTACTCCTTTGTGGACGTGTGTGGATAACTGTTTGTGAACTCCGCTTTCTGCGTGGCCACCCTGGGGGAGACTGAGTGCCCTGTGTACTAAGCCTCTGCTTTTCCATCTATAAAATGGGATGGCAGTGGCAGGGTGTGCACCGGGTCACCTCTGAGAAGTCTGTGCAGTGTGGGGGAGGCAGGGTCCCCTGCCAGGTCCTGGTGGCTGACAGGGACCAGCAGTGTGAGGTTGGGGGTCACAGAAGCCCAGGTTTGCATCCCAACCCCGTGTGGCTGTGCTGGGTGACTGGGGAGGGGACTTTTTGCTCTGATCTGTTTTCTCGTCTGCAGCGTGAACCTGGTGTGGGGTTGTGTGTTGCAGGGTGCTCCTGTAAATTGAGGTGCTCACAATTCCACCTGGGGCCTGGGCACCAGACTTGCCAGCTGCCATATAGAGCTGGTGCTGGGGACACCAACGTGTGGGGTTCAGGTCCTGAGCTGGACAGGTAAGGCTGCTCAGGAGACAAACCTTGGACCAGGAGCTGGGGGTGCTGGACCCCCTGAGCCCCAGACAAGGGCTCCCCATGGGGAATGCCCAATCCATGGCTTCTGTCTCAAGGCGATGTGTCTCCCACTTCCTCTTTGTACATCTCCCCCCATTTCCCAGTCTCTTCCCCCAAAACCATTGTCTTCAAGTCAGAACTGACGCAGACCCTTTACAGATCTCCAAGAGGAAATTGCTCTTTCTCTCAAGGAGCCCGGGTGGATCTGAGCCGCCTGAGACGCACCAGAGCTTGTAGGGTGGTTGGTTCCGAGGGCCCTGTGCCTGTGGAGGTGGCAGTCACCCTTGGTCTGTTGGTTCTGGGGACCGTGTACCCATAGTGACGGTCACCTTGTGATCTGCTGGTTGTTCTGAGGACCGTGTGCCCATGGTGGTCGTTACCCTTGACCTGTCAGTGGTTCTGAGGACTTGGTGCCCATGGTGGCAGTCACCCTGTGGTCTGTTGGTTCTGAGATTATGTGCCCACCATGGTGGCAAGTGGTCACCCTCTGGCCTGTCTGATGTTTGACTGAAAGTTGATTCACAGTTGGGAGTCCGCATCCAGGCTCGAAGGGTGACTCAGGGTCGTGGTCTGAGTCCAGCAGTGTCCAGCAATGCAGGAGGCCTGGCCCTTGTTACAATCCTGATGCTAACTGCATGGGTGTCTCTCGCTCCCTGGCCCCGTGGCCCTTTCCAGGGTGGGCGGCCATTGAAGCCTGCACCGCACGGCTCTTGTGCTCCCAGGGTCGTGACAGGGAGGTTGGTGAGGTCGGGGGGTGCTGTGGGCTCTGGTTTGAGGAAGCTACCCCTTAACAAGAGCTTCACCCTCCGCCATTTGTTGAAGCACAAACAGTTGTTCTTGGCTGTGGGTTATGTTTCCATTTTATTTTATTATAGATTCATTTTATACTGGCTTCTTACAAAGTTTGTGTGCATTGCTTTTCACACTGTCTTCATTCACATTGTGCTTCATAGTTTTTCCCATTATATTTTTTATTCCTTTTTTTATTTTAATGAAAGTTTATGGAGACTTTGGATCCATTCATTGTCTTTGATAAAATCAACATTGAACTGTTCCCACCAGTGTAACCTGTCTTTCCAGATCCCCATGGATCTTCCCCATTTCCTTTTCCCCACCCCTCCCTACAACCATCACATTCCATTTTATTCTTTTAATGCATGGCAGGTTTTCATTTCTAAGGTCCTCAGATTACCAGTGATCCCTTTAGGGTCACCCGTGTGCTCTGAGGGGTGGAGGCTAAATCATGAGGACTTGACAGACCCTGTTCCTCTTTTGTTAAAGCCAAAGGAAGGACAATGCTTAAATGACTGAGCCTGGCTCTGTACTAATAAAACTTTATTTACAAAAAAAGGGGCTTGCCCAGGGATGGACATTCATGAGTTTATATATGTGTAACTATATACATGTGTTTGGAAGCAGGAGTGGCATCCACTTCCTAAACAACATGCCTCCGGAAACTCTATGAACTTTGATAAATGTTGATAGTTGTAGAGGGGCTTCAGGCCTTTTGTTCATAGGGTCACTATAACTTGTGCTTGACTCAAAGGCAATCAACAACAATCATCTATGAGGGCTAAGAAGCTGCGCTGCAATCCCAAAAGGCACATGGTTCAAATCCACCAGCTGCCCCACAGGATAAGGCTGGGCAGTCTTCTGCCATGTGATTTACAGCCTCGGAGAACCTGCAGGTTGGGGCAGCTGTGGGGTGGCTTCAGCTTGATGCGACACCACAACAATCTATAAGGAGCCCTGGTGGTACAGTGAGTTACAGGCTGGGTTTCTAACTGAAAGAACAGCAGTTCAAATCTACCGCTCACGCTGTCCCGTACTGGTTTACCCTCTCAGAAACCCAGTGGACGGCTGCTAGCAGTCCCACTCGACCCAGGCCAGTTTTGGGGTTTTGGTTTTAATCTCCGTGGTTCCTGGAGAGCTCCGGGGATGTAGTTCTCATTCATAGACTGTGGCTCTGGCGGTTCAAGCCCACCATCTGCTCTTGAGGAGTAAGGCGGCTGTCTTGGCCCGTGTGATTTACAGCCTTGGAAGTGCAGTGCAGGGTCACTTTGGAGTTGGTCCCAACCCAACAGCATGACTTTATGGTTCATGGTTTTTATTCTAAAACCCAGCTCAGCCCATTAGCTGCCGTGTGCATTCCACCTCCTTGCGGCCCTGAAGGGCCATCGGGTTTCCAAGGCTGTGAGGATTGTGGAGCGGGAGGCCCATCTCCCCCTCAGGGCACCGCAGTGTGTTAGCAGCTGCGCCACCAGAGTTCTGTCATAGCATCGATGCTATTTTAACAAAACCTTTTCTACCCCAAATTACAAAACTTGCCTCGTATTCCTCTCCGTGATGGGGCTGATGACTGGTTCCCTGCATTGTGGTGGTGGTACCGGTACCGGCAAGTCGGGCCTGACCCATAGCTGGGCCTCCAGAAGGGGTTTCAGAGGCAGGAAAGTGCATGGGAGGAGAGTGTTAATTCCCCCCACACAGAGCAGCTGGTGGCGAGCCTTTGGGATTGCAGCGTAGTTTCTTACCACTATGCCACCAGAGCAATTTATTTTTGATAAGTGCACCGAATTCTCTAGCATAAGATGAAATATTAATTGAAATGAGGAAATGTATTACTAGTAGACAGTGGCGATGTGTGTGGTGTGTTTGCCAGCCCCCGTGATGGTGTGGGGAGGGGGAGCAGGCTGGACGCCTTGCCACTGGGAGGTGGGTGGAGGAAAAGGGGGCTTCCAGAAAGCCATCCCTTCACTGCCGTCCCGTGCATGTCACCCATGTGTCAGGACAGACTGTAGTCCAAGGTTTTCAGCGGTTGATTTTTCAGTGACAGCCAGGCCTTTTCTCTGATGCACCTCTGGGTGGATCC